ATGTAATGGAAATTTCGAAAGGGTCTCAATTGGTAGATTACGATTTTAAGAAAACGTAACCTTAACGAAACGTTTTGCGTTGCGCCTTCCATGTACGACGGGTGGGTGTCTATACAGAAGACATAACAAAATGCTACACTTTTGGTTTACATTTTTTTTGCTCGACCCCTGGGAGGTAATTTACTATCCAGCCGCAGTAATGTAACATGCAGCCATTTTCGAGAGATTGTGTCAACGGCGCCTTAGAAATCATAAAATATCGTAATATATCCAGAAGATGTGTAAAGTTAGGCATAAATGATATCTATATCGATTCTTCGTTTGTTTTTTCACAATTCAATAATTTGTTAAAAAATCGTAATTTCTCGGTTTAGGCTTTTTATTTTATTTTACAGCTTTCATTTTTTCATAAATCAGTCTAACAGGGTATAGAATAGGTGTGTGGAATAGGTTTTTGTACAACTTAAACCATCTTAGATCTGTGCAGGTGGTGGAATACGTAGGCATAGCCATACTTTTTTCTTTGTAAATAATATCCTGAAGTTGTCCTAAAGTTTTCTATTGATATCGCGCTTTTTCATACGTATTTTCCATGTTATCTCTGAAAGGGAAATGCGAGTACCTCCTTCAGATAAATGCGTTCAGACACGAAAATATTAATATCAGATTTCGTTTCGATGACATATTACTACGTTTGATCTAAGATCCTACGTTGTCCTTGGCCGAGAGACTCTGGATGATCGACGCGTAATGCTTCTCAGTTAACATTGTTCATTTATCGTCCGTAGGTCCGTTCTCTCCGTCCCATCTCCTACTTCGTGTCGCAATCGCCCCTTTCAAAACTCCACACTTCATCCAGGTGTGTCTGCCTGTGCTTGTGGTCGCGTTGTGGCAGGGGTGGGGGGAAGGTCGTCGGCTGCGGCGCCGCGCTGCGTCAGTGCGACGGAGCGGAAGTGACGCAGGGCCTAACGAGCGCGACAAGTGCGGTCGACTCCTCGCCCCCGCCCCTCGCCCCCGTCATCCTTCGGGGCCGCAGTTGGCGCGACCGCCGCCGCTTGCCGTGGCCACGGCCATCCCACGGCCTCCACTTGCCCCTTTGACCTCGCGCTTTTTGCCCTATTTGCTGGCCTCTTTCTCCGGCTATACAATTGAACAATCTGCCTTTTGGAAAGTATCTTGGTTGCCCCGCAGGAGCGGAGAGATCTGGGTAGAGAATGTTGCATCCTACACCACATCCCCAAGCCCTGAGTAAGAGAGTGAACTGCCGTCTACAGAACATTATAAAGAATGAAGTTTTGAGAACTTGGAAAGAGAAGTGAAAGGGGACACGAAACAGGAGTCAATCGATAATATAAGAGCCTTAATAAGTATAGCCATTTTGAAGTGTGTAGTAATTGGATTAATAGCTTGTGGAAGCTTTTAGATTCTCGTCAGATAAGTTTAGAGATAATTTATGGTTAAAAACGATAACGTGCTCTTTTCAATAATAATGTGAATATTTCTTCGGTCTGTATGTTCCGTATCGTGTTATCTGACATCACTAAATTTCTTAATTCCTCATTGCAGTGTTATTAGACATTTTAAACGATTGCCAGTGATAACTGTACGAACAGTAATATGTTTTTATGGTAACATTTTACGCATATGAAGAAGATATATTTTAGGAAATTAAATGGATTTTCAATTTTTAGAATCATTAGTTTTCATAGGGGTTTAATAATATATAACCTGGCAATAATAGTAATTAATCACCACTGGTATAAGTGTTGATAGCAGTCAGTGTTATGGATACTCAAAGATAGAGAGGCCTACTTTTCATTACGTTAAATAACGATAGTTTACCTGGTTCTTGCTTCAGAATTGTTATTAATGCTATTAGTCCCATTTACTGGAAGAACTACAAAACATTAATTTCATCGTCACCCAGGTATCTATTCTTGCCACACCATTAGCGTTTAAAGATTCGTAACGATACAAAAAGTAGCCATTTTGCCAGGCGAGAGATTATGTTGGCTTCAGAACCGCCGGGAGCGCAGTTCGACGTAATATTCCTTGATGAGCGTTCGAGAGCGTCAATAACGGAGCAGAAAAAGCGGCCGTGAGATCTGCTTTGTTTACCCTGATTCCCCGCGCGATCAATCGATTCGCATTGAAATGATTGACCGTTCGCGTCCAGCGAGCGATCTGCGGCCAGCGCAGCAACACATTCACCTCACACTCGGTCTTCTCGCTTAAACGCGTAGTTCGGCGAACACAATACCTCCCGCCCGCCGCCTTTGTGCGCGTCAAGAAGCAAAAATTCCCCTCTGCTCCTCAGCCAGCGGCGGGCCACTCCCCGCGACAAAGGCACGGGCAGCGTTGAACGCCCGCTCTAGTGTTTTTCTCCCGCCGCCACTTCGAAGGCTTCGCTCCGACTCCGTTTTCATTTTGTGTCCGTTTGATGTAGGCGCTGCTGCTGCTGCCTGGGCGTATTGTGGCGCCGAGAGCGGGTTGCAGCGCCCCTCGCGTCGCGGGGAGAAGAAAGAGAAAGACAAACATCCCGAGGAACCTTCTTAGAATCTGCGCCCTAAGCTCGCGCACGTCTGGGGCTCACGGGGACCTGCGACCGCCGCACAAGGCAGCTGCGCCTCTCACGCGCTGCGCTGGTCTCGTTCCTTGCGCGCTCACTTCACGCGCTCCTCCTGCTGCTGCTCAGGCAGAAGGAGCTCATCTGCGTGGCTGCCGCTCGTTTATTGCCTTTTGTCCATAATTTGCTATTTCTTTGGAGTTGAAGAGCTATTGCATTCCACACATATTTTTCTTTCGAAGTGGAGTATTCGATTGTGATTCGTGTATTTTATTTTTATGATTATTTACTCATATTTAGTTTATGGAGCTTTGTTATTTGCTTGAAAATATTCTTCGTAAGAATAAACATTTTCAATTTAAATGGATAAGCTTAAAATATGATTTATATTATTTTTTGAAGATTTTATTTTTTAAACTATTTTATAGGTGCTTGAAAATTTGTAAAATTGTAACAGAAGTAATGAAAATATTGAGTTAGGTGATAGTATTCCAGAATTCTTAAATACGAGTAATTTCTGCTTCTTAAATGTTGTAAATCATTTCTGTGTTAAATATTTACAACTACAGTAACAAAAACTTTCAAGCAACTCAAGCCATTGAAGATTTAAATATTTTTAGTTTTTTTTACCGCCCTTTTCCGTCCTTTCATTGACTAGAAACTGTATTCTGTGAGCTCCTTAACGACGAACGCACTTACAGTCGGCCCTTCAGTTTCTACCACCAATGCACGCCCGCGCACAGTGGGTGAGAGTGGACAAGTAGAAGCACGCAATCTCAAACTTCAACTCAATGGTTTCGAAGATTTTCATGTTTTACGAATTTCTTAAGTTGAACAAATAAAATACTTACACGAAAAGAAATACATTAGATCTCAGGAATTTGTTTAGGTTCATGTATTTTTAATGTAAGAAATATCGTTCCAATGTCTTTGAAATCTGCCCATCGAATTCTCCACAAAACTACATACAAACAACATAGGAATGACAGGGATACTGTTTTTGCTCTCTGCGCAATTCGACACACTTTACTTAACATGGCCTGCGATGAGTATGCTACAGTTAGAGAGAACTGTTTTTATTCAATTTTTAAGGAGAACTAGAAATATCTCTAGAAGTAAAAATAAATCAATATTATTATTTGGTCAAACATCCAAATTTTAATAACTTAATTGTACCTCAGTAATTAGTAGCGAGTTTGTATCACCTTTAATTTTCTTTTCTTTCATTGTGGCCTTGAAATATATTTTCCTTATTAGCTGAATTAGTATATACTTGTAAATCGTGAATGGTGAAATGGCGAAGGTCTTGTGTTAGCTACAGTTTGTCTTGGTTTGTTCTATCCTTGTATCTTCATGGAGAAATAAATAATAAGTTAGTAATCGATTTTTTTAAATTCAAGATTTTTTTCCAGAGCTGTATGGCCCTGATGCTTTAACGAATAACACTTAGTATTACGAGAATGTGCGTTGGTTGCAGTTGACTTTAAAGCGAGTCCCACTGTGCGCCGAGCGTCCTCGCGCAGGGTCATCTGCATGTCAAACATTCGCCGCCTGTCGCGCGCCCACTCACTCGGAACCGCCTCCCGCACCACCCCCTCCGCTCCTCTCCATTGCCCTCCCCCAGCTCTTCCCTCACCCTCCCTTAACAGCTCAGGAATGGAATGCTAGTTATAGGCAAAAACCGTTAAAACTCTATGTGAAGTGTGGGTGACAAATGTGTCCAGAATATCTAACTCCTTTTTTTACCATACGTTGATGAATAATGAATAAAAGTACCAAAGAGGTTGGTTGGCAACATTTGAAAACTAGTAAGTTTTTCTCCCTAGTAATATAAAACGTGAATTTGCATCGGTGAACGAACGAAGGATTTGATTTTGAAGTACTGTTACCAAATAACTACCCTTTGCCTATCCACATCACTTGCAACTGTCAGAAGGAGAACTCAACAAAACATTCTCATAATTATGCAACATTCATGTCCAGAATTAGAGCAAAATACCAACTCATCAATCAATAGATCAAGGGAAATTGTATAGAAAAATAAATTATTTAATTTATTGGATTTATAATTCTAGATATATTTTGAATGTTCTTTTTTTCTCAGAGTTATCCAATTTATCTCCCAGAATTTATCTACTGTTTTATGTTTGTCGAAGTCAAACGATTTGTTACAATGTTCCTAGATTAATCTTGTTTTGGAAGATTTTTTAGATACCAGAGTTTCCAGTTGCGCAGCGTTTGTTTGCTTTAATCAGCTCACCTAGCCCCAACCGCCCCAAAGGCCGGGCGAGGAACGGGCTGCGTCGTCTCTTTCCCAGCGGAGCTTCCCAGGCAGGCGGTGCCGCCGGGGCTGTTTTTGCCGCCGCGCGGCTGCTTATGCAGTGTCCGCTATCGCTCTTCCGTGAGGCAGACGCCCTCTCTCGCTCTGTTGCAGAGGGCGCTGAGGCGGCCACCGCCTGCGATAGCGCTGCTGTCGGCGGAAGTGGAGTGCGGACGCCACCTTCCTTGTCCGCCGCCCCCGCCTCGAGCAAACATCTCTTTCCGGCGGCGGCACGTTGGGAACCTGCGCCTCATCCCGCTACCGTGCGCCGCTGTCGCCGCCGCCTCCTCGAGCGCTTGCGCCCAAGGGGGCGTGGCCCGAGCGCCCTTGAGGCTCGCCCTGGAGGACTCAACAGCCCTTGAGGCTCGCCCTGGAGGACCCTCGCCGCCGCCGCCGGCGGCCAACACCTGGGATTACGCCGCCAATGCCGCAGAAGGCACGGCGCGGGGCGTGGCCTCGCTATTAAGCCACGTCTCAACTCGCCTGAGAGATCCGTCGCGCCCCCTCCCGCCCAAATCTCTCCCAGGCGCTCCTTCGCCGACGCCTTCTGCAACCTTCAGATCAGATGTGACTGCAAACTTTACGACGGGGGCTTTCAATTTCCGATCTGATCCCGCGTTTGCCGCAAGCGATAGTATCTGGCCCCGCTTCCCTTCGGATCCTGCTCCGCGGCGAGCGCTGGCCGCCGTGATCGGATCTGCCTCACGTGGCGTCGGCGTCTCGCTTGAGGGGCGGTGCGTGAACGGCGCGGCCGCGGGCGTCGGCGTGCGCCGGTCGAATGTGACGTGGTGCGGGGGAAGCCGAGAGGGCCGAGCCGAGCCTCGTCTGCCGCGGGCTCACGATCTCTGGCTCACGCGGCGCGCGGCGGGCGCGTGCACAGACAGACGGACGGACGGGCAGGCGAGGTGAGGTGCGGCGTCGTGAGCGCCGGCGCGGAGACGCCCCTTCGCCGCCGACGCCTTCCCGCCTCTGCCGACGCCGAGCAGAGCGTGGGCTCGCCGCCATAGGAGCGGCCCACGACGTTGCTGGTGCAATGGCGCTGGTGCAACACCGCTGGTGCAGCGCCGCTGGTACGAGATTCGGGTGACACTGGTGCAACGCGGGTGCGACGTTGATACGACGTTGGTGCGGCGACGGTGCGACCCTGATGCGGTTGGAGCTGCAGCACATATTGTGCAGGTTGATCAAGAATCGGCTACTTCATGCAAATTTATTGTGCGGCGGTATCAGCCAGTGTTAGACATAAGTGCCGGAGAGGAGGGGTGTAGTGAGCAAATATCGAAGAGGCATTGTGTCAAACAATAGCTATAGTGGTCTAGTGATATCATTGTTCACTTTATAAAGCAATATTTAATATTTTAAAATTAGTGGTTGGTGCGTGATGTACAATTCGCGACTACTTGAAAATCTTACGATACAGAGAATTGTGACAAAAGGAATAACAACAGACTCTTCACGCATATATCAAGTCTACTGGTGCGGATTGATTATCATGTTTGAAATCATCAATTGATACATAGGCCAGGAATCCTTGATTCCAAGTAATTGGTGTTGCGTGATGAGTGAAAGGAAAATTGGTGTGTGGTAAGGAATATTTCCAAAATACCGCAAAAAAGGTGGTATCAACAATTTTCTCTCTCTCTCTCTCTCTCTCTCTCTCTCTCTCTCTCTCTCTCTCTCTCTCTTACAAACATGGATTGGTGCAAAGCAGTGGTCGCAGTGCGGATTAACACGAGGAACGATAGTGTCACATGAGACCCAACAATATATGTGATCCGTTCACGATATTTAGTAGTGTCAAATCTACAAGGTGCATTGTAATAAAATTGCACAACTACATGAATAGCTGCACATTGTCATCCTCGAAACTGTGTGGTTTTCAGAAGGGTGGCTAAAATTGCGGATGATTTCGTTAATGAGAACATCGAAACGGTACCGTAACTATGAACGTAAATTACTAACGAAGATTCGACGTCGTAATTACATATAATTTGTGAAAACGCAGATGAAGATACAGGTTGTGATAGTGCGAAATTGTGCGAAAATCATGATAAGATGTTGAGAACGCCTCCGACGTGGGTCACTGATAACTCGTGAGTAAATAGAATCACGTGGGCGTGTGAAATTGTATTCTAATACACGCGCCTCATCCTCCGAGAGAAACGAGGATCTCATTGTTCTGGATACTAAAATATTGTGAAACTGAAAAATTTCAGTGCAGCGCATAATTCATTCTCGAGTAGACAGGAACAACATGGAGCGAGATCTTCTTGTGGTTCTCACTGGCTAAAGATCGTGTTGCGTTCTCTGATGAGGTATCGTTCGTGCGTTCCGTTAGAGATCAAATCGGTTCCCGGGAAAGTGTAAAGCCAACACGTCTGTGAGGGTGGTCCGACAGCGGCCGCAGCTCGACTGCAGCCAGGAAACGGCGAAGTGAGTCGCAGAGTCTGGAGGAACCTTGACGTGGTCGCGCGTTGCTCCTCGCCGCAGACCAGTGCACACGTTTGTCTGTGGTACGTGCTACTTATTGGAAACATCGTCGAGGCGAACAAGGAACGTATAATCCACGTTTGTGAATCACAGCTAGTATCAATAGAATGATACTTGCCATTGTTATAATCTGCGAGTGCGCTGGTAGCTTTGTGAGGGCAAAGTGCATACCCTTGTAATAATAACGTATTGGTTCATGTGATTTTACCTTGTTTTGGATGCTTTCACTCCTTAACTGGGATTGTACGGCAATTGATTAACTTGTTCGAACTGCATCGGGTGTATGAGTTGGATTTATATTGTTCCTCTAACTTTCAGAAGCTGAAAATAGTTACCTGCGCAACTAGCAACCAAATATTACCATGCGAGCAGCGTGATTAAGATTACCATAGTCGTGAATAAACGAGTTTCAAAGGAAACTAAGACGCTCGGAATGGAATACCAGACACGTGATAAAAAATTAACGAGATTATACTTTTTGCTTACAGTTTCAATGTTTAACTGTCAGAAAATTGTCTACATTTGTGAAATTGTGATTTCTCCGTACTAGTACCACGAATGAGGGGTGTTAGAAAAACCAAAGATTTGTAAATTTTAAAAGAAGTGCGATTAAGAGAGTTGATAGAGAAGTTCGCCAAACATAGACATTTTGTTTATATTGTTTTCAAATATGAATCAGAGAAATCTAAACATTAAATCAGTGGCATACCAGCAATATGAACGCGACTCGATAGCGACAAGATTTTCGTACTTACGTATGTAGGCAAGATGTAGTGAAAACGATATTGAAGCTTTCAATGAAGTTTGTTCTCAACAGTGTTGACTGCGGTGGCAGTGCGTTTTACCGTCCAATATAGTGCAGTGATGCTTCCGGGAGCAGCATGGAGTACTGAGAGAAAGTACTAGTGTGAATTGGCCGAGTGTCCAGTGCGTGGGGGGCGGCGCGTGTTTCGCGGCGCGCCAGCGGGCTCGTCCGCCGTCGCCGCAGCCGTCGCCGCCG